TTCCATAGTGTTCAGGAAGCTATAAAACCCGGGAAGTTTTTCTGCAAATAATGGAAAGACTGTTGCTATAAGAAGGATAAAAGGACATAATATATGGGGGGAAAGTATAAAGTTGTACTAAGGAAATAATAATAATAAAATAATTTAAGGAGCATACTATAGAAAGAGAGACCATCTGGTAAGGACCTATTTAAATATATTCAAATTAAAAAGTAGCACGCAAAGAGGTTGAGCTATAGGGCTATTAGATAACAAAAGACTGAAAGAAATGAAGCTAGCAGAGAACCTGAATGCATTGAAATTCTCTTTATTACAGAAAACAATGGATAGATATCTAAGCTCAAGAGCCACAAAGATTACCTTGGAGAAACTATGTGATGAGAGATAGCAAGCCTGACAGGAAGAAAACGTTAGAAAGAAATCCAAACTAGCCCTCTTAACTGTCTTGAGTAAAAGAAGCATGGGGGGAAATGCTGTCAAGTTTTCAGGATTTTAGTTAGTATAGCCTATATAACCAATAAAATACAGCTCCAGAAAATCTGAAAAGGTTTTGTAGAGTTTGTTTTGTGACCTGACCTATCAGATAAGGCTGACATCGAGCCTGTTTTGATTTTCTAGGGGAAAGTGGGGTAAATTAGAATAATTAGAATAATTAAAGCAAATCCAAGAGAAGTTAGCATGGACCCCCTTGGATGAATTTTCCTACAGTTCATATTTTCTGTGTTTCTGTTTTCGTGTTTTTCTTTTTGTTTAATTGTACATTGTTATAGAGGCAATGGCAAACTACTGAAAAGCTTGCCAAGAAAACTGCAGGGATTTGTCCAAACAGTCTCTGAGAACTGAACACAATTGAATGGAATTGTTACTTATTAAATATGATTCGTGTGCTGAATGAGAGGGTATATTAATCAAATCAATCAAAACAATAAATGCAATTGTCTTTCATTTCAATTTAAAGCTGAGTTTCAAATAAACATAACATTCACTAATGATTTGGGAAAATATAATGACAGATTCTGTATTCTATCTGACAAACAATATAAATATCCTTAGCAATTGTAGGTTAGAAACACTGAAAATGGCCTTATACAAAATCATATTGATATACACATATTTATATTCTATTCTGATTAATTGCTTTTCTCCAGGGAGATACTTCATGACCTTAGTAATTTTAAGCTGTGTAGACTTCAACTCCCAGCATTCTTCAGCCAGAAATTGCTTTGGGAATTCTGGGAGTCCACACTTATTAAAGTTGCTAGGTTGAGGAAAATGTCTCCAGGGACTCAAAAGAAGGCCTTCAGTAGACTTGCTGTCTGACACAAAAGATATGCTTTGTAGGTGAGACAGGAATTATTTGTAATATTTTCATAGAAATCTAATACTGACATAAAAATGCTTTCTTAAGCATTTTCTTTTACAAAAGAGAACGGGTGCTACTATACTACTGGATAAATTATGAAGAGCCTCTGTAATGTGTTGATTTATGCAGAGAGAAAGCAGCTCTGGGAAAGGCACTTTAACAAGTAACCCTTAAATAGTGTTATTAGATTCAGCATCCATAAATTCTAATTTAGAGTATAAAATATAATGGACATAAAAGCATTGCATTCAGCCATCTGGGTTAGACGGATAATTTTACATTTTTTAAAGCATATATAATTAACTCTCAATATTGTTATTATTTTAATAATGGCTTGAATACATACATAACTATATAAAATATAATTTGTAAAGTAAATGTATTAAATAAAATAATAATTTATTTTCTATATTTATAATGCATGCCTACTCAGCAGCAAATCCTATGTGTATAGTGGAGCTTACTCCTGGGAAAAGCTACACAGAATTGTATTTCACTTGTCTGAATGATGAGCAGGGGGTTGGGCTAGAAGACCACCAAACTCTATTCTGATTGATTGATTGTATCCTTTATACACATGATGGAGAACCTATGGCACAGGTGTCACAGGTGGCACACAGAGCCTTCTCTGTGGGCATGCTAGCTGTCGTCCCAGCCCAGTTTCACTGCGCATATGTGTATGCCTCCTCCAGCCAGCTGGTCTTTGGGTCTCTGCCGGGCATGCTTGGGTGCAGGCAGTGAACATGCATGCATGCGTGGGACGGGGCGCTTGCATTGCATTTTGGGGCCTCGCGTGACCCCCTCCCGTGCCTTATTTTGGCTTCCAGGTTGGTGCAGGAAACCTTCTAGGCTCAAAATAGGGCGCAAGGGGGCACCCCCCCTATTTTGGGCCTGGAAAGCCTCCTACATGAACCCGAAAGCCAAAAATGGGCAAGAGGGGGGAGGCTAATGCATGGGGAGCGCAGAGTTCCATGCGCATGTGTGGGGCATGTAGGGGGAGTAGCATGTGCATTGCATTATGGGTGTGGGCACGTGCTGTTGCGCGAAATGACAAAAAGGTTAGCCATCACTGCTTTATAGTTTTAGCTTTTGGATTTTTTTGCCTTTTGGAAAAGCACTGTTGGGATTATATAATTCATATTTGTCAAATGTTTATTTGTCTGTTTGTAAAATTTATATCATGACTTTCGTTCAGAACCTCAACTTTCCTGCTTCCTCCTGCAATACAATACATGTTTGAGAAAGATTGACTGAGAGTGTGTGACTCTCTTAAAGACACTAATGAATTTCCGTGGTTGAGAAGGACCAGAATTTGGTCTTTCCAGTATTTCCTTCACCACCCCATTCTGGTTAGGAAAGTATTGTTTTAAATGCACAGGTACAGTATAGGTGGTACCTTGCTCAATAGTAATAACTGTGAGAGGGATCTTGGAGTCCTAGTGGACAACCATTTAAATATGAGCCAGCAGTGTGCAGCAGCTACCAAAAAAGCCAACACAGTTCTAGGCTACATAAACAGAGGGAAAGAATCATGAAGTGTTAATACCACTTTATAATGCCTTGGTAAGGCCACACTTGGAATACTGCATTCAGTTTTGGTCGCCATGATGTAGAAAAGATGTGGGGACTCCAGAAAGAGTGCAGAGAAAAGCAACAAAGATGATTAGGGGACTGGGGACTAAAACATATGATGAACTGTTGC